ATTGAAACTCTTTGTTGTAAACCAACTCCATGAACTTGTTCTCTAGGAGGTTGATCCCCTTATCCTTGGTTGTATCCTTGAGGGAATTCCATTCATAATCTCTTCAAGTGGTCTTCTTTTTATCTAGCTTGTCTTTCCTTATCTTCATGCTTGTTTTCCTTTCCTAATTCCGAAACACAACCTATTTAATATTTCATTGTTGACAGCTCCGGTTCATGCACCTTGAAAAGTAGACAAAAAATTGAAATTTAATTAGTAGTAACAAATTAAAAAAGAAATCCTTAGTCTTAAATAAAATCTTAAACTCAATGACTAAATGCACAATCTCCCAAGCACCAGATGTGGAATCAAATGTAATTCCTTAATCACACTCTCAAGTGCACTAGATAGTCACTTGTAGCATAGGTTTAAGCGTCGAACCACTGAAGAGATATGAAGTTAATACATTAAACCATGTAGATTCCACTTAAGCTAATGAAATAATTTTTGGTTGGGTTTTCTATATATAGACTAACTAATTGCATAAACAAAACAAGTCTAAGCAATAACAAAGCAAACATATCAATAAGAAAAGCAATTAAAAAACAAAGCAAGAAACAATTAACAAAGAAAATATTTTAACTCTTAATGGGGAAAACAATAGAACATGGATCTAACATTTTTGATGACTAATTGATGATGCAAGACATTCATTAAGACTAATCTTAGAACATGGATCACAAGAATTTGATTGTTCCATTTTCATTACGCTAATAATTTCATTAATTATCTAATTTAGCTAAAATTTCATTTGCAAATTAATTAATAAATAATCATACAAAATCTAGTCCATTTAGTTCACTATTTATCACAACATCAATCAGGGGTGGATCCAAGAATTTTTTTAAACATGGGCATAAATATTAAATTAATATATATTAAATAAAATATTAAAGATATAATGTCATACTAAAATTAAAATAACATTCTATAAATGCACTTTACGTTTTCTTCACAGAAAAACATCTCTTAACACTTGCATTAGCAACTGTTAAAGTCAAAATTTCAAAAGCTTATTTAATGAGTTTAATTTGTTTATTCTACTCTTTGGGTTTTGACTAATTTTTTAATGGGTGCAAAATCTCAAAATCTAGTGGGTGCAAACAACAATTTAACTACAAAATACATTATTTTTAAAATAAGTTGTGGGCGCACACGTGCCCCTCTCCTATAACACTACATCCGCCCCTGAGAT